TTGCTTATTAGGCCTCAAGGAGGTAATCTATTGTACTATAGAAACAGCTACAGCCTTTGCTATGCAGCAGGGAGATTACTGCTGTTCAGGTGGATGAGTGGCTTTCAGATTTTTTTTCACAATCTCTTTGATTTAATATGTTTTAGGAATGGAACAGCAATGTTCTGCTTAAGTTGCAGGCAGAAGTTCTTGAAAAGATGAGATCCACCACACTTGTAGTAGAAGGACATTAGAGAAGGAAAGGCTTCTGCCTGCATGGGCTCAAATCCAGAGTATCTTTGAGAAGTTGGGAAAAAGAACTGAAAAGCATATAATGGAGCATTAATAGCACTCACCTATCCCATCATTTTGTGTGTGTGTATGTATATATATATATTATATATATATATATACACAAACACAGTAAGATATATAAACACACACACATCACTACATACACCTTCTTAGAGGTGTGCATAGGTAATATTATATACATACACAAGCGCAGACTAAACTTTATACAGAGGGAGAATGCATTCCAGAGTCTGACACTGGGAAGGGTTTTCTTCAGCTATTTACACGCCTAGTCTCAGGCAGGATGTGGTCTGTCATTGCAGAGGCCACAGCACAAGGTGAGACTTTGCAAAATGTAATACAAGCTATTAATGCTGGTTGGTCTGCAAAATTCATACCTAGTCCTTAGGAAGGAGGATGTCAGGATTGAGAGGGGATTTTCTTCAAGAACTAGATTGTTTGTTTCTGGAATGCTGAGACTAAAGACACTGAGTTGGACACAAGAGGACAAACAGGCAAGGCAATATAAGACTGACTACAGTGACTACATTGTATCGGTTGCAACACCCACAAGAAAAAAAAGATGTGAAACATTAAAACAGTTGTGATAATTCAGCGGTTTCAGTGTGACAGCCCTAAGTAGCAGAGGCTTGTTCCACTGACAACTGCATGTTTCAAATCATGAATTGCACGACTGAGCAACGTCATATGTGACTACAACAGCTAACATCAAAATCAGTCTTCTGCAGGAAAATCTATTTGCCAGACACATCACAGCACAGGTGTCACGGCAAGTAACAAGCCATGGCATGACAGCTAGCAGTGCAACTGCTTTAGGCTTAGTACTTTTCGAGTCCAGGAGAGCTACATGTCATGCCACCTGTGCATAAGAGAACAGAGAAATCTAATTAGGATCTTTAATTGGACCTGAGCAACCTGATCTAACACTGTAATTAACCCAGCTCAGAGTGAGGGCAGTTGGACCAGAGACCTCAGGAAGTCCCTTCCAACCTGAATTATTCTGTGATCTGTAGCATACAAAAAGATTGAATCTCATTTGCCATCTCTGGCAGGAGCAGAAGACACCTTCAGCTTCATTCACGGAAAAAGGAAAAGCTGGGTTCTTACTCGTTCAGTTTTGACATAGGACAGGTTTTGGGAAGGTCAGTGGGTCAGCCAGAACTCCTTGTTGTGGGAAAGGCATAAGAAACGCAGAGACTGAAATCCACTGGGTGCCTTGAAATTCTTCAAAAGAGAGCACACCATGGCAGAGACAGAAAAATACTGATACAGCACAGGCCAGCAATACAATGTTTTTCCTGGGAGGAAGGTGACAGGAGTGGAAGAGATAAAAGGGTAGTTAGCCCTGTAAGGAGCATGTTCTGTTTTAAAAATGGTACATTTCCCTACATACAAATACTGATCCCTTACAAGCTGTTTCCTCTCAAATCTAGTAATCTTCTTTACCTGTTGGAAACTCACTGTAATTACAAGTTCCAGTGCCAGTTTCTCATTAACAAAGAAATTTGCCCTCTATTACAAGGGGTTTTGTTTTGCCTCATTAAAGATATTGTTAAAGCCTCCACAAATATTTTTTGTACCCACACAGGCTCCTTATTGAATCTGGCTGTCTTCACTTCCTGTTTTAGCACAACTCACTTGGTAAGTTGTTGCCTCACCACACCCCTAAAGTGGTTGCCTTTAAGTAGTTGGTGAAATGCTTAATATTCATTTAGTAAAGCTCTTTGAAGATGATACATGATGTAAATATCAGCTAACACTTCAAAAAAATAATATGGCTTTTGTAAGATTAAAAGGTTAGTTTTCTTAAAATTTGTTAAATCAAAATAATGCAAGCTTCCATGTGCAGTTTAGCCCTCTTATCTCTTCACAGTTCTTAATAGTCAGTATTTCCCATCTGATTACTGCTCATCACATTGTTATACTGCTTTTACAGCCTTGGGATTTTTTACAAAGCTTCTCTATTACTCCAGATAGGCACAAAACAGTAGCAGGTAGGGAGCAATCCACATTTTCCAAAGATCAGAACCATTATTTAATGTTTTTGTAAATATTTACTTTAGAAGCAGGCTAAATGTTACTTAAGATTTGTTCTAAAACTGATGTGTTTAAAAGTAAAAAATCACGAGGACATATGGAACTCATCTGAAGGAGAAAAAAAAAGTTACAATTACACAAAAGAATTAATTTCCTTACTGTTACCAAAGAGTTGTCTTCATAAAACTTGTGGCATGCTTTTGTGTCTTAGGTGGAACATCATGACACATATCATGTGGTTTGTGGTCTACTCTTCCTAATGCCTGAAGCTTTGGCTGCAGTTTCCCCAACCTGACTGTCCCACCACATCGGCACACACCCTCATTGTGCTCCCACTGGGATTTCTGTTCCTGTTCTGCCCTTTTTTTTTTTTTCTTCCCCTTCTTCTTAGTCATCTTACCCACAAGCAGCATAAATCAAGGCGAGGACGTGTTTTCACAGCTAGGCAGTTCTTGCAACATCAGGGCTGAGTTCAGGGAAATGGCTGGAAAACTTGCCATACCCACACACACACACACACACCTGCCTTTTGGCTCATGGAAGACGAGCACAGTGCCAAAGATGTTTGTTTATTCTTGCCCCTGGTGCTTTGATATGTACGCCGCGGATGAGGGTAATGGCCTCCCTCACAGCGCAGCATGCAGGACTGAGCAGGGCCTCACATCTCCTCACAGACCTCCCAGGAGTCTTCTCCATCACATGAGGTGCTGGGTCACGTCACTGGTGATGTCCATACCAGCCTTCTGATGAGGCCCCTCTGTTCTTTCACTACTTTGGAAGAGATTTGGGAAAGAGCTAGAGAAAGGGTGGACCAATTCAAAGCCACTAAGCCAGGCAAGTGCAGCCATGTCTCTTCGGAAGTGGTTCTTGCCGAACACAAGGACAGTTTGATCCAGTCGTGAGCAAATGCAGCAGAACTCCATGCTAGAGTGTCACGACAAAATCAAGCCTGTAGCTTTTACATGGTTTGTGTAAGCTTAGGGAAAAGCAACAGGATACTGTGCTATGACTGGACTTAGCCCTTGTGGTATCGCAACTGCTGGGACGTGGACCACACAATCCTTCCCGCTTTGGACTTCATTTCAGGTGTGGGCACAGCCACCTACACTGACCGTGCAGCACCCTGCACACTTGGGGTAGGTGGCTTGGGAGCAAGTGCTGGGGCACATTTGTGAGAAAGGTGGGGTTGCTGGAGAGAGAGAGATGGCGTGGGCACGTGCACCCAGGCCCTGCCTCCCGGTCCTCGTGGGGATGTGTCATCACACCAACAATGCCAGGGAGGCGAGTTGAGAGGCCGGGCCCAGTGTCATGTCTCCCAGGGGCAGATGGGGAGGGGAGGGCACATGAGAGCTTGCTGCCTACAGAGCAACGCACACACCTGCTGCCAATCTGCATCCCAACAGCGTGGAGCCACAGGTGACTCCAGGTCCCCAGCACCAATGCAGCCATGACTCAGCTGACCATCCTGTGCTGCAGTGATAGGACGTCTTGTCTGCTAAGAAACACTAAGAAACTGCCTCTTTCTGTCCTTCTGTCTTTCCCTTATCTGAACCTTATCCTTCAGGGTGGAACCAGAAAATTGAATATTTCTTTGAAATATTAAAGAACTAGAAACACTATGAGGAAAAACCAATGCCCTGCTCCTTTGCCTGATTTTTACCTGTCTGGAAGATCTGGAAGGAGAGAGAAGAGGATGAGTGTCCTCGCTTAGAAAGGAGCTGCTGTTTCCAACGCTGTGGTTAGGAGAACGCTTTCCCATCAGGAGCAGAGTGCAGGGGATGCACACACAGTGGTTCAGAAGTCCCTTCAGCAGCCTGGTAGCTCCATTTGTTCATCAGTCACCATAGCAAGTGGTGTCTTTCCCAGTCTTCCCAGGGCTGTCAGGAAGCCACTTCTTACAGCCAGCTGGGCCCGAGTCTCACACTGGCTTTGGCAAAATCCTGCTGGCTCCACTCCAAGTTTTGCCAGAGCAAGAACCCTGCCTCACAACAGTAATGACTGGATTTCATCATGCAAACTTTGGTAGTTTTGATCGTTCTCAATACAGTGAGAAACTTTCTGATTTTGGAAAGTGTCCCCAGTCTGGGAGGTCATGGGAAAGCCACGACACAAATCGGCTCTGCTGTGTGCACAGCACACAGACGGAAGGGTGATGGAGATGCCCAGGGCTGGGCAATGTCCTGTAGGGAGAATGGGCTACATCTGGCACCATGACCCCCATCCCTGCCCTGAATGGATCCAGAGGCAGGAGGTCCTGTATGTGGTGGTGACACACACTGTCAGTCTGCCCTCTGCTCTGAAACATGGGACACCCGGGAGCTGGAGTGATTGGAGGTGCTGAAGCACCGGCTGAAACAACTTCCAGAGAGCTCCAGACCCTCAGGGATCCTAGACGTCCTCCTATCACCAAGAACCACCTCAGATCTTGTTGCTGAGGCTTTTTAGTCCAAGTGGGAGCTGCATCCCTGACGGTGCATGTTTGTAAACTGAGAGGAGTTTCCTTCCTTCCATCCTCCTGTGAGGCCGGGGAGGCGGGGGACGCCCCTGGGGTGGGCGAGGACGGCTGAGGTCCGGGGTACGGTGCTGCCCGCGCCATGCAGGGACCACGTCCTTGGCCCGCCCTCCACGCCGGGCTCGGAGGGGCCGGGGAAGGCGGCGCCTGCCGGGACATGTCGCTTCACGCCGGGAGCCGCGCGGGTCAGCGCGGCCGGACAGGGCTGAGCGGGGGCGCCCCGGGGCATCCCCCGGCGAGCAGGCTGCCCTCGCTGCTGGCCGAGACACAGCCCCGTCCGAGCGACTCTGCCACACTTACTGAGTTCGGGGAACGCGTCGGAACGCGGCGATGTCGGGAGTTTAAGGCCTGGGTCGCGCCGCGCAGGTGCCGCGGGCCGGGCGGGCGAGGCGGCGGCGCCGCCGCCCCTCCTGAGGCGCGGCGCTGGGGCGCCATCGCCCCCTGGCGGCGGGAGCGGGCGGCGC